GCTCCCGGGGGAGGCACCGCGGCCCCGCAGCGTCCCGGCCCCGCTTCCCTGCCCCGTGTCCCGGCCACGGGCGGCCACCGGCGCTTGGGGACACCCAGGAGGGGTCACGGAGCTCGGGGAGTTGGGGAATGGGAGGTTTTGTCTGATGGATCTGTGGGTTCGGCATCCCCTGGGAGCGTCCCTGAGCGCCCTGCTCAGGTGAGGCCGCACCTGCAGCCCCGGCAGGTTGGGTGGATGTAGAATTGTTGGGGCAAATCCAGAGGAGGACACGGAGATGCTCCAAGGGTTGGGAGAATTTGGGGTGCCCGGCTGGAGAAGGGAAAACCCCAGAGACGCTTCCAGAGAGCTGGGGAGGTTTGGATAAAGGCCTGGAGTGACGGGAACGGTTCCCCGCCGCCACAGGGCAGGGCTGGGTTCTGAAATATTGGGTTCCAATATCGGCACCCCAAATCACAGCCACCCCTCCTGCCCCGCTGGCCCGGCCGTGGCGTGCAGGAGCCAGGAAACAGCACGGGAAAAGCCACACTTGGACCCAGCCTGGCTTTTGTTTCCATGATAAACTTCCCTCTCGGTGAGGAAGGATGCTCTGGGCCCTGTCCCTGCTCGGCCCCGGGCTGGGGGACCCTGCCCAGGTCAGGGGAGCAGAGCCGGGTCCGGCTCCTCCCATCCCTGCTCGCTGCATTCCCGGTTTTCTGGGGGCAGCCTCTGGCACCTTTCCTGCTCCCAGCGCTCCCGAGCCGGCAGCTCAGGGTCAGGGAAGTTTTATCAGCCCCGGGGCACAGCCCGAGGCCGGGACACGGGAGATAAGGAGTGTGGGATGAGTGGGATGAGCAGTACAGGGCCTTACGGGGGGGTCCTGTTCCGCCAGGAGGGATCCAAAGGCCGTGCGGGGGTGGTGATCCCCAAAATGCCAAAATTCCCCCAGGACCACGTCCATGGGGACCCTCAGATGCCACCACTGTCCCCAAGGCCACCCTGGGGCTGCCCAGCCCGGTCTGGGAGTGAGGTTGGAGGGGTTTGAGTTTGCAGATATCCCAACTCCTGACCCTAAGGAAGGGCAGATGGGCTCCCAGATAAAACCCGGAGGAGATTCCTCTCATTTTCCTGCTCCGTGACTCTCAGCACCTCAGCACGAGCAGGGAAAGGGGGTGATGGGCTGGGAAAGGGCCAGGGCTGGGAGAGAGGGGCTGATCCCACGGGATGATCCCACAGGAGGGGAGAAGGGAGCCCAGAAATAGCAAGTGCAGTTGCAGAAGGCGCCGGTTGCCATGGGATCTTCACAACCAAAAATGACGGGGCTCTGGCAACTACAAGAAGGGGCCCTTTCATGTGTTTCTATGGGAAGTCAGCTCCTCTCCACAGCCTCCCGGGCTGGAGCCCTGCCCAGGGCAGGAAGGATTTGGGGACACTGCTGCTGGGGCCTGTGAAACTCCCAGGAGACCTTTGCTTGGGCCAGGAGGTTTTTCCCAGGTGCTCCTCAGAGGTCACTCAGGACTGAGCTGGTACCAGGAGCTGTGCCTGGGAAAGGGGAGAGGTTCCCTGCCCCTCCTGCTGGGCCTTGTTCCCATCAGGAATGGCCCAGTGTGGAGGATTTTCCTGCTGCAGCTGAGGAAGTTTGGCCTCCTCACCCTGAATTCACATGGGATGAGCATCCAGAGCATCCCCAGGTGAGTGTCCATGTCCTGGGAATGCCAGACCCTGCAGGAGCAGCCCCCAGACCCTAAAGCAGCTCTGGGCTGTCCCCCAGGGCTGTCCCCATCACTGGTTTGCTGGCAGATCCTTCACCATCCCTCCAGCCCAACCCCGCACTCTCCCTGCTGGAATTCTCTCCCCGGAGAGATCTAATTAGTTAATTCCCTTGCTATTTATAAATCAATGTGGAAATCCCTCTGTTTTCATTCCCAGTTGCTCGCCCTGGCTGGGCTCCTTTAACTCGGGATAAAATCCCCGAGAGGATGATCCGGGTCCATGAATAAATAATTGCCTTAATTCCTTTTGAAAGGTGAGGGAATGCAGAGCAGGACGAGGGGTTGGGGACGGTCCCTCCTGTCCCTCCCCAGCCCGGTGGTGCCGGGGCTGAGCTCCCTGCTCTGCCCTGCAACCTCCCAGCGCTTAACACCCCATAAATTAATAATCAGCCGCAGTTTAAGTAGGTCTGGAAAGTGGAAAAACAACATCCGCAAGGATCTGGCGTCCCCCCGGCCTGGCGGGCAGGAGCAGCAGAGATTTGTCTGCCTGTCCATCTGCTGGAGGAGCAGACAGACCCTAATCTGTCCGTCTGTGGGGATCCTGCAAATTCCTGCCCCTTCCAAAGCTCGGCTGGAGCCCGAGCTTCTCCTGCCCCGCTCCAGGGATGGAGGATGGGATCCAGCGCTGGTTTGCACTGGGAGGGCTGGGATGGTGTTTGGGTTGTGCTGGCATTCACCGATTTCTGGTTTCTGATGGTTTCTGATGGTTTCTGATGGTTTCTGATGGTTTCTGATGGTTTCTGTCCTCTGCCCCAGTGTCACCACACAAGGAGGAGGAAAAGCTGGGAGCTGGAAAAACTGGATGTGGATGAGCCTGGGGACAAACACGGAGCTCCAAGGCTCCAGAGGCAGCGGATCCATCCCGGGAAGGAGCAGGGCAGGACGGAGATGTGCCGTGGAAGAGGAGAATCCGCGGGGAAAGGGAACGGGGCTATTTAAAACATTTATTTATTTATAACACAGCCCTTGTGCAACCCTCGCTGCAGGAGAGGCTCCGCAAGAACGGCCGGGATCGGGATCGGGATCGGGATCGGGATCGGGATCGGGATCGGGATCGGGATCGGGATCGGGGATTCCTCGGAGATGAAAAACGCCTGGCGTGGTGTGGGACTGTCATTGTCACCTCCCAGCTCTGCTTCTTGTCCTGCCCAGCCCTGCTCCAGTTTGCTGCTCTGGGAGAGGCGGGATGGAATTCTTTGTCCCCTCTGGTGAAACATGGAAAAGGTTTGATGTCTCCGCGGGGTGGCTGCTGACCCCAACCCCGACCCCAACCCCATAAATCCCCTCAAACCCGAGGAAACTCCTCCCCACAAGTTCCACAAGGAACCCAACAGCCAGAGCCAGGCTGAGGCCGCCAGCAGCACCCCCAGAGCCCCCCGGTGATGGGGAATGGTCCAGTGGGGATGAGCCATTCCCCGTTTGGGGTTCCCTGTGGCTTTGGGATGGGAGATGGGAATGTCTCAGGGCTCTTGTGGGGAGGGGTGGGTTTGGTTGAGGTGGTTTTGGCACGGCCAGAATGTGCTGGGATGGGATTTTGAGATGGGATTTTGGGATTTGAGGATTTGGGGATGGGACAGCAGCATTGTTTGCATTCCCAAAGAGAAGAGCCAGGGTGAAATGACCTCCAGCAGAAAGGCTGAAAATCACTCCTGGAAGGCGGGAAGAGAAGTGTGGATTTGATGTGGATATTTCCCAACCCTGAACAGGGGAAGGGCTCCCCAACCACGGCTCTGCCAGATTCCCCCCACCCCCAACTGGGAACACCATCCTGGGAGCTGGGATTGGGAACAAACAAACATCGTGTATCCACTAATCCCACACTCCCTCGGACTCCTGGTCTTCCCAAAGCCAAGAGCCTCCCTGGAACTCCTGTTTTCCAGCAGGAACAGCCTGCCCAGCTCCCGGGGCTGCTCGGGACGCTCTGGTCCTCAGGGCCAGCCCGGCAGCCGTCCAAGGGCTTTTTATCAACTGGCACCCAAAAGTCAATAAGGAAGATGCCGCCTGTTTTAATTAACAGCAATTTTCGCTCCAACGGGGGTGAGCTGATGTGCCAGGGGGGAGGGAGGGAGGCCAGAGACAAAACATGACCTTGTTGGTGCAGCACACACAGCGGGACATTGTTTTCCCCTTGGAGTCTGGCCTTGGACGCTGCTGGGCTCCGTGGCACAGCTGGGTGCTGGGGACAGGGGGTCCTGCCACCCCTGCTGGCTCTGGAGCAGCTCTGGTGGGAGCAGGGTGCCTGGAAAAATCCAGAGATCAGGATATGGCACTTGGGAGGTGTCCTCAGGGAGTGTTGGGATGGCATAAAAAAATCTGGATTTTGGGAGCCCCCAGTGAAATCCAGCTGTGTGCAGGTGCTGCAGGGAGTGAATCCCCGCTGGCAGCACTGCTGGATCCTCACCAGCACAAATAATCCTTCAGTTCAGACCCATTTTCCTTTCCCCTCAATTCTCCTATTCCGGGAAAGCAGAGAGGAGGAACTCCCAGAGGGGAAAAACCTCCCTGTGTGTGTGCCAGGGTGCTCAGCCAGGCGGGGTGTGACACAGGGACATGTCTGGCCCCACTGCAGGACCTGGCCCCACTGCAGGGCACCCCAGGGACTATGGGGCTGGGATGAGCAGGACCCTGGAATGAGCAAAACCTTGGGATGAGACACCCTGGGGTGACAGGACCATGGGGTGACAGCACCATGGGGTGACAGGACTGAGGCCACCTGCCCCAGGACAGTCCTGGGGGCGACAGGAAAGGGCCAAGTGGCACCATGGGATCCTGCCGGGGGTGACAGGGATGGGGTGAGCAGCACCCCAAGGCTGATGGGGCTGGGGGCACAGGCACTGCAGGGGGGTTGGTGATGGGGACAGAGGGGTTCTGGGCTGGGGGGAACAGCACCCTAAGGGTGCCGGGAATGGGCGAGCAGCACCCTGAGGGTGTCAGGATGGGGGAGCAGCACCCTAAAGGTGTCAAGAATGGGGGAGCAGCACCCCGGGGGTGATGAGACCCCCACCCAGGGAAGGGGGAGCCCCCACCACCCGCACTTTCAGAGTCTCACAGGCGGGGAGGGGGGGCTCGGCGGCCACCAGAACCCCTCGGTACCCGGTGGGGCGGTGGCTCCAGCGAAGCTCCCCCCGCCCCCGGGGCGGGCTCGGCCCCGTCCCGCCCCCGCCCCTCGCCTTATCAGCGGCCGGCGGGGGGCTCGCCCCACTCCCGCCCAGCGCAGCCGCCGCGGCGGGGCCGGCACCTCCCCAAGTGCCGCACCATGGGCAGCCAGGGCTCCAAGGCGGCGGGCGGAGACCCCGACACCGCCAAGGCCAACGGGCAGGTGGGTACCGAGGGGCACCGGTGGGTACCGGGGGTACCGGGGAGCACCGTGCGCCCCGCCGGGGCGAGCGGCAGCGCGGACAAAGGAGCGGCGGGGAGGGCGCGGTGATGGAGCCCAGGGGGGATTTCTTTGTCCCCCGGAGGGATTTTCCTGCCCGGTGGGTACCGGGGGATGCGGCACCGCCCGCGCCGCGCCCCGGGCTCCCCCCGGTACCGGGCGGGTCCCGTTCGCCGCCGCGCCCCGGTACCGGGAGTGGAGCGCGGGCGCCGCCCGGTGGTAACGCGGAGACCCCCCCCACACACACACACACCGAGCGTATCCCCCCGTGAGACCCCAACCCAAACCCCCTGCACCTCCTTTTTTTGTGGTTTTGCCTTTTTTTCGGCACGCCACGCGCGCTCCTTTCCTTCCCATCCCCTCTCTGTGCCCGGTGTTCCCCGTTTCCACCGGGGGCAAACCCCCGTTCTCCCCGTGGTGCTGCCCCTTCCCCGGGCTGGATCCCCCCCCTCCTCTCCCGTGCTCGGTGCCCCCCGTTTTCCCGGCTGGGAGCCCTCTGTGGGGTGCAGGGGTTTTGGGGTGCCGGCGGTGCCTAACGCGCTCCCACCCCGCAGGAGAACGGCCATGTGATCTACAACGGGGACATGACCCCCAAAGCGGGGGTCGAGGTGGCCCCCCAGAACGGGAACGGCTCGGCGGAACCCCCCAAGGAGGAGAGCGAGGGCGAAGCGGGCGGTGCGGACACCATCGAGCCCGCCCCGGCTGCCGCCGACGGCGGCGGAGACCCCAAAACCGAAGGCGCGGCGGCCGCTAAGGACGCCCCTAAGAAAAAGAAGAAATTCTCCTTCAAGAAATCCTTCAAGCTGAGCGGGATCTCCTTTCGCAAGAACAAGAAAGAAGCCGGGGACTCCTCTGGCTCCTCGCCCACGGAGGAGCAGGGCAAGAGCGACGAGACCCCGCCGGGGGGGCTGCAACCCTCGGCTCCCCCCGAGGAGGGGCCGGAGGAGGAGCGGGGCGGCCCCGGGGCTGAGGCCGAGGATGGAGGAGAAGCCGCGGGCAAAGAGGAGGAGGAGGAGGAGGAGCAGCAGGGAGAGGAGAGCCAGGGAGACACAACCAAACCTGAGGAAGCCTCCAAAACCGCCGAGCCCACAGCGAGCCCACAGGAGCAGAAGGAAGAGTAGAGGCCGCTCGGGCATCGCCCTCACCGGGGACTTTCACGTCGCCCCCTCCGTCCCTTCCCTGCCCTGCCCGGATCGCCACGGACTCGCCCACACTCGCCCCCGGCTCTCCCCCCTAGGACTGACAGCACCGCCCGCACAGCCCGGCCCTCCCCGCAGGTATCGCTCTCTTCCCCCCATCCCGGTAGACAAAAAAAAAAAAAAAAAAAAAAAAAAAAGGAAAAAAAACAAAAGCTGGTTTGGATTCTCGCCGCCGCCGCCACTTGGAGTAGTGTGAGTTGAATTCTTTGGGAAAAAAAAAAAAAGAAAATAACAGCAACAATAAAAATAAATAAAAAGTAAAACTGGGGAGGAAGATTTGTCCCGGACACCACTGGAGTTTACAGTTTGTAAGAACCCGGATCCCAAATCCTGCTCTGGATCTCTCCAACCTCCGGACTGTCCCTTCTCCTCCCGGTCCCACTGACTGTTCAATGGAATTTTTGATTTTTTTTTTTTTTTCCGTTATATATTTTTTTTTTCTTTATTTCTCAGTTTACATTCCTGGTTCTGACTTTTCATTTCAAGTATTTCGTGCTTTTTATATAGAAATCGATGGTTTAAAAAGCTAATCTGGTTAGTTTTTTATAATGTCTTCTATTGGCTTAAAACCATAAAGCTTGTAAGTCCGCTGTGTTTAATTCTGCTTTAAGGGATAACTTTTAGGGTGTGGGGTGGAGAGAGGGGGCCCTACCAGCTGTATAATGTGAAGCCAACCTTGTTCTTTTTTTTTTTTTTTTCCACGGGATTTTAAAGATGAGGCGAAAATTTCAATTTGAAGCTTGGGGTGTTTTTTTTAAAAATTTAAATGGGTTTTTATTTTTATTTTTTTTTTTTTTTTTTTTAAGAGGGGGATTAGCTCCTCTAGGCTGCAAGGAGCACAAAAGGCGAGGGCTGGGAGTGAAAATTTCCTGAACAAAGCGGGGAAAAAAGGAGGCGACAATGGAGCCTCCAGCCCTGCTCCTGTCACCTGCACCTGGGATTTCGGGATGGATTTTCCCGAGGAAGGAGCAGAGTCCTGGAAGCTGCTCCTGTCCCCAGGATTGGGGTTGATTTTTTTTTTTTTTTTTTTTTTCCACAAGGAGATCCCTGGAAGGATCCTCCTCCATTTCATGGCCTTGCTCCCCAATTTTCCCTGCCCAACACTTTGCTGTTTTGGCTGGAGAAAAGCACAAAAAAAAAAAAAAAAAAATTAAAATATTTAAATCAAATAAACCCCAAAGCATTGTTTGCCCAACAGGCGCCACCCTGGAGCATCCCGAGCGTTGAGGTAGGTGGGGAATATCCCAAAAAATTCCGTTTTTTATGCGAAGAAACCAAAATCAGGGATCTTCACCCCCAAAGGGATTGGTTTCATTGAGCAGAGGGGTGAAATAAATGGGTTTTTAAATCCAAATTTGAAGGGGAAAATGGGATTTGGGAGCATCGGGCAGAGCCGCAGCCTGGCAGCCATTTTAGGAATCCTGGGGAAGGGGGAATTCAGTGGTGATTCCATTGAAATTCCAGGCGTTTTGTTCCCAAAAAAAAAAAAAAAAAAAAAAACCCCCTAGGA